GGGCAAAAAACCTAAACAGACACTTCTCAAAAAAAGAAATACAAATGGTCAACAAACATATGGAAAAAATGTTCACCATCTCTAGCAATTAGGGAAATGCAAATCAGAACAATATTGACATTTCATCTCACCCCAGACAGCATGGCAATTATTAAGAATACAAGTAATAATAATGTTGGCAAAGATGTAGGGGAAAAGTCCATTCACACATTGGCTGTACTAATTTGCAGTCCCACCAACATTCTGGAAAGCAGTGTGGAGATTTGTCTAAAGACTAGGAATGGAACCACCATATGATCCAGGTAGCTCACTCCTTGGTATATATCCAGAGGATTTAAATCAGCCTACTTGAGTGACGCAGCCACATCAATGTTTATAGCAGCTTAGTTCACAACAGCAAAGTTATGGAACCAACCTGGGTGCCCTTAAATGAGTGGATAAAGAAAAAGTGATATTCTCTCTCTCTCTCTCTGTCCCCCTCCCCTCTCTCTCTCTCTCTCACACACACACAGTGAAGTATTAGTCAGGAAGAAGAATTATATTAAGTCAAAAGTTTTCTCTGATATGCAGAAGGTAATCCAAAATGGGGTGAGAGGAAAGGACAAAACAGGGGTGCAGGGAATTTCATCAAAATAGAGGAAAGATCCGTAGAACAGACCATGGAGATTGAGTGGGAAGGAGGAGGGATGGATTAGGGAAGAACAGGGGAATGAATCTCTCTGAACTTTTCTATGCACATGATGAATATACCAGGATGGATCCCAACATCAAATATGTTCACTACAATAATAGAAAAAAAAAACTAAATTGCAGAAAGGTCAATGGAGTAGAGGGAGGGAGCAGGAAGAGGGGGAAAGGACAGGGGAGTGCTGGGGACTGAATCAGCAGATTATATTCCATGCTTTGTGAGTATGTAAAAGTGCATCCTGATGTCATATTTAACTAGAAAAAAATCAGTGAAAAGGGACAACACGTCATTTGTCACCATAGTAGATACACTGAAAGGCCTGTAAAGCTGGTGCACCTGCCCCACCCCGTTAGAGCATAAGGTCTTTTTGCAGTTATTCTCCTTGAGCGTTATGGGATCCTGTTCAGTGTGAAAGCCTGAGAAGCAGAGAGTGCGGATGGGCAGCGTGTTTTCTGTAGGGCACGCATGCGGGACGAGGCCATTCTGCCAGCAGTGCCTGTGCAGTGGGTGCTGAGCCAGAATGAACAGCTCCCGAGTGCTCAGCCCGGAACTGGGAGTCCGTGAAGGTGAACCACTGGTTTACCACTGGGCGGGGAGTCAGCTGCGATCCCAGTTTAGTAACACAGAGATTCCTGGCGCACAGAAACCCAGGATTTCTGGAGGAGAAACTGTAGATAAAGGATAGCTGTGAGTACTTCTATTTGGTAATACAAATTCCTTAATGGAAAGAACTTTTCTAAAAACAACTGACCTTCTGCTAAGAAGCTGACTGATTCAGTTCCTCTGTCTCCTTGTACTTCAGTAGAAACGCTGAGTTCCCAGTGAGCAGAAGATGGGGACGCAGGGGGCCAGGTTGATTCTCGCGCAGGCCTGACTGGTAACCAAGAGGTAAACGTGAGAATCAGCCAGCTCTTGGCTCTAAGGTCCTTCACAGCGTCATCTTGAGGACCAAAGGCTATAACACATGTGCAAGTGTCGAACTTTCAAAGCTGGGAGTCACTGGGCACACACAGGGTATTAAGGAGCAGCTCGTCCCTCCTGGACTCTATGCATGGTCTCTCATGGGTGACCTGGCCGTGTGCGGCGGAGAAGGGCTCAGTTTGTCATTGCTTACGGCCTGTGCAAATGGCTTTACGTCTGCCACTCTTCTGTACCCACGTAGGATCCTCGGAGATTTTAAAACATTGAGTTTCCAAGTTTCATTCACTGTAATTTGTTCTCTCCAACTTTGTGTCTGAGATTCTTCTTCTCTTTCCTTTCTCTTCAACTCTGCGTCTTAACTGTAGGTACCCAGTGTCGAACCAGCTGCTCTCATTGGTCACGTGCCTTTCCATAGTAGGTACCAAAATTATACCTCATCAGTAACCAAGTGTAATAAGAAAAAAAAATATTGAGTAATAATTTAACAATACTTTATAAATAATAGTGATGTTAACAACAACAACAAATGTGTTGACTTAACCTAAATCTGGAAACTTCCTCCAATCAAATGCAGAGGATTACGAGGTCTCAACTGCTGCTCAAATCTTGCCGTTTGCCTTCTTACTTGGCAAAGCAGAATCGGGACCTGGGAGGTGAAGGAGGAGTGATGTTTACCTTGAAGTACTTCAAAATCCTTCTGTTCTTTAGGCATCTTTTGATTCTATATCTTTTTTTTTTTTTTTGGTTACCTAAGAGGGGCAGTGAAGGGGAGGAGTGAACCTGAGGAAAGGATTCTTCTCTGGGCTCCTGGAAGGGATACCAACTCGCCACATGTCATCCTAGAACTGGCCAGCCGAGGCTCCCTGGGAGAGCGCTGAAGCCCATTTTCAGCTGTTTTGTGCTGGCACCAGGTGCTGATCTCGGGGAATCGCCCTGATTTGCTGCAGGGATTAATGTCTTCTCCTTCCGTTTCTTTAAGGAAATGGCGAAGATCCTTAACCATCCCCGAGTCTACTCCTTCCTGCACATACCCGTCCAGTCCGCCTCCGACAGCGTGCTCATGGCCATGAAAAGAGAATACTGCGTGGCTGACTTCCGGAGAGTCGTGGATTTCCTGAAGGAGAAGTAAGTCTGCTGGCGCTTTCGAAAGTCACCATTTCTCTTCTTTCAGAAGTGGGTGGGGACGAGGAACTTGGCGCAGCTCACGGGGAAAGGTGCAGGGAGAAGGTGGGTCTCGAGGCTTGCAGGCCTTCCTTCCCTTGGGCACTTTCGCTGTGGGTTCTCCTGTCCCCTGCCACCTGTGCAGGTCGCCCCATGTGTTGTCTAGTCTCTAAGGAGGTGTGAGCCGTGGTTATTTTCATACCTGACCTGGTGGATGAAACCTGCGTGGGCTTTGCTATGCTTTAAGTCCCCTGAGAGGCTTTCTGAAGTCATGAGTGGGTTTTGACATGGACGTAGGGACCAAGTCGTGGCACTAAAAAATGGGTGATTTTCTACTGACTTGCATTTTTTGAGGAGTGTCGGGAACGTCGCTGCTTTTACCCACTGATCTCCGTTATTTACTTGAGTACTTGTGATGTCAAGGGGGCGGGAGGATTCTGGTGTTTCAAGTTCAAACTCCTACTGACCAAAGTTAAGGCATGTTTTCATAGTCCCAGATGTGAATGGTAGTTTAGTTTCCGTAAAGAACCCTGGCAGCCCGTAATCATGTTCTTCAGAGTCCTGCTCAAACGGGGAAGGGCCTGTGATCAGGCCAGGCAGGGAGCAGAGGTGCCAGCCAAGGCCCGAGACCTTCCCAAGCCCAGGCCACGGTTCACGCTCGGGGAACTTGTCTTTCATCTTGGTGTATTTTGGGGTCTCCTCGCTTTCCATAAATTTTTCCACTGCCGTTTTTCTTGATGAAGATACAGCTTTTTATTTCCATCTTCTTGTTTATAATTACGTACCTTTGTGCCATGTCGAAGAACTACATGGATATGGTTGCTCTGTACTGATGGTAAGCAGTTTACTCTTTTCTTCTTTTCTCGTCTTTCCTTTATGTATCTCTTAATTTTTTTTCCACCTCTAGACTTTTCTTGATTATCCTAACCCTAGAAATAGGCACTTGGTGGGCATCCACACAAATGCAGCTAATCACTCAAATATTCAATGTAGTGGAAAGAAAGCATATTTATTCCAAGATATCATGATTATAGTCCGTATATACATACAGCCTTCAAAACAACGCTGTCTACCCTGTCTAATACTCTTGGATCTCTAACAGAACTGGTCAAGGCTAAAGAATACAGATTTTTATATTAAACATCACTTGTTGGTCTATGGCCTGTCCTTAATGTTAATCATGCTTTTGTAGGTAACTTGTCTCATGTAGGAGAGTCGTTGAAGGCTCGCTGGCACTGGTGAATGGAATGTGCTCAAAATTGAAACAAAAAAAATTGTTACACCTGTGAGATTCCTTCTCTTGCTTATTGAAACAGCAGCCGATAACGCACACACTTCGCACATCTTGCACAAGGCTTTGCCAAGCGCAGACATGCATCCCTGGTGAGGAACAGACCCGGAGGCTTCCCAGTTGCATTGTGCGGTGGAGTGAGCTGTAGGAATCGTCACCGCTATGGCCTCCCTTTGGGCGAGCACTGACTCAGTTTGTGGAATTACTGTGTCTGTTTACCTGTACAGCCTTTGCCAACAAGTTCAGTCCTTTCAGTTGCTCTGTAGACGGACATGTTGAATCTGCTGCATCTTGAACAGTCTGAGCAGCCTCCTTGAGCTTTGTGGAGGTCGGAGACGATGAGCACATCGAGGCGCTAGAAAATGATTTCTTGCCATCGTTCATTGACTACATTCAGTTGAGGGTCTTTTCTTTGGACTTTCAACTACCTGAGGCATCTGAGTAGCTTTTCTAGAAGAATGTGACTAGCTAGAGATCCTAGAACAAAGTTCTCTGCCCAGTGATCTCCAGAGCGGAGAAGTCAGGATGATGGACACGCCTGGAGAAGACCTTGCCTCCTCCCATACAGCCCCGCTTCGTTTCAGTTTTAAGTGCTGTTAATTCCTGGAAGACAGATAAACCTCCAGCCAGTTAGCCTTGTAACAGATTAAAATTAACTCTGTATTGTGTATGTGCAAGGACAGAATCAACCCTGCTGTATAAATTCACATTTAGATAGTAACTAATGTATATTGGAAAACTATAGCAAGCAGCCAATATGATATACTTACTTTGTATAGCAGATAACTGAGAAAATTTCAGGTTCTCTACTTGGAAAAAGTCCAATTATTGCTGTTAATGTAACGAAGTGATCATTGCATAGCTTTAGGCAGCTCATTGGAACCCTAAAATTGTCCATTTCCTCCAGTCCATGTTGTTGCTTATGGGAGTAGTACAGCGCTTTCCCATGGGGTGGTGTGTTCCAGCTTCTCTCTTCAGTGGGAGGAAGTTTCCTGTCCTCTGGAGAGGACCCTGATCCAGTGAATAACTTTCCATTAGGGTGGACGTTTAGACAGAGGTGAAGTGTATGAAGCAGATTTCTGGTCCTTATTTTCTTACTTTAGGCTAGTGCAGCTTTGTGACAGATCAGTGCTTGTTTTGGAAACACCAGTTTCAGGGCTGCTGTGGAGGCACTAGTCAGGATGTGCCCCGTGTGTTCACCCTAAGAAGGTGACCTGTTGGTACGCCCAGCGCTCGTTCATAACACATCGACTTAAAATGGTAGGTTTGCTCCTTCCTTATCTGTTTGCTCTATGAATCCCATATAAATGTGGCCCTTTTCATTTCCTTCTTTTTTCCCCTAAAGTCTTTGAACCTTTTTTTAGGGTTTTGTAATGGAATTCTCACTAATAAGAGGAGCTTCTGCCTTTCTCTCCTTCGAGAGGCTTCTCAGCTCTTCACATCGGCAATGAAGGAGCAGGCATCTCCTCGACTGTTTCCACAAAAAGTCCATCTTCAGAAGAACCTGTAGGATTTAAGGCAAAAGTCCAAACTAGGAGTTTACCTGCGGCTCTGCATCCATTGGTGTTTGTGGAGCCCTGTGTCTCAACAGTAGAGGTGAAGTCTTTGAATTAATGTTCCTTATGTTGCACATGGCCCCCCTTCAGCTGGGAGCGATGGAAGCTGACATTTGAGCCAACTTGAAGCCTAGTCATTATTCTCTGCAGTTGTTCGAACGTTGGCAGCCATCCTCCGCACAGCAGCTGGATTGAAGATAACCTGGTGGTGTTGGCACATGTTGAGGCATATGGGGATTTATTAAATCATGCAACCTTTGTGAAAAAAGAGTGTCTAAATTACTTAATACACTAATTTAAAACAGCTGGTCTTGAGCAGACATTCATGACTTAAATGATTCTTTTCAGTTTTATTAATCCAGTTGAACATTAAGTAATTAGATGTTTTTATTTAAATGAATAAGATGATTTCTTGAAGTACATAATGGGATTTACAGGGTCGTGGAAAAAAACTACTTAGAACAAAGTAAGAGGTGCAGTTCTGATTCAAAAAAAATGTTCTATGTTTTTTAATAAGTACCTCATTAATTTTACTACATTCATAAATTGTCACAACTGGTTTCACTGTTCTCCTTTTAAAACGTTACTGGGATTTTTTTTTTTTTCAAGTGTAAAATTTGGACGGTGATTTTGAGATACTTACTTCGCAGTTCTGGGATTCTTAGAGTACATTATGAGGAGTATGATATGATTAGGGTTCCCAAGCTGTGTGGCCTTGGACATGGGCTATAACTGGGGAGCCCTCTTTTGCACAGCAGTGATTGCACAAAACCCCGCCCCAGCATAAGCCACATAATAGCATTCGGTCAGGAATCAACACCTTGCAGAGCGCTTCTCTCAAGCATCTGTTTGAAAGCTAAGTAAAGGAATCTGAAACCTCAAATTCACACATAAAAGTGTGAAAAAATTATGAAAGATATCCTATTGATTTATACATTTTAAGAAGTGAATCAGATTATGTATCAGTGTCTTTTTGGTTTATGTTAATTAGAGCCTAACAGTCAACATCTCTGTCCTCCTCGGGCTTGGAGACATTTTGGATGAGTTAGTGAGCAGTAGCAGGTTGCATCTTATTATAGCACTTGTGTTGACTTTTTGTCCCATGGCATTGTTAATGTCAGAATTCACCATGATCACTTGTCAAAGTCCTGTGCACCTCTCAGTTTATTTGTCCTGTCTCTTGTAGAACATTAACCCTTTTTAGTGTGTGACATGGGTTCTCATCCCTCTAAGTTTACAGAGACTACCCAGGGAATTGCCACAGCTAACAATTGGTGAGCACCTAGGGAGGAAGAGAAGGGGTGGACCCATGAGGTGGCTTTCCCCTGAGAGCTGGTCATCCTCTGACCTCTCCGCCTGGCACTCATGCACAGAAGGGGCACAAGGGCACGAAGCTGGGCTCAGGCTGGCAGGAGATCTCAGAGTCACAGTGGTGACTCACATGGCCTATCCTATCCGGTGACCTACTTTTCCAGTCTGTCTGCAAATAATAATGCTAATTCATTAACATCCCAAGTCATTTTCCTTTCCTGTCATTAGTCGGGCTGCCTTGTGCTCTTACGGGAACAGAATCTGATGAAAGTTGTTAAATTTGTATTTTATTCCATTTGTCCATCCAGTTTTATTCCTAGTGGCTTAGAAACTGAAGTAGCAATATTTATCAGAATAGGAGAAAAGATCTTGAAAAAATAAGAGAAGGATTCAGCAAGGATTAGACAAGTAAGCTTGCTTCCAGCTGCCCCCCAGGCGGGTTGCTGCCCCCCGAGTGGGCACCTGCAGAGGGACTTGGGCAGAGCCGCCCCTCACAGCTGTTTCCTGGGGGCCTTCGTCGTCTCTGTAGCTAGTGGTTGAGATGTCCCAGAGGGATGGGGCACTCTTGCATCTGTTGCCAGATTTCTTCTGAAGGAGAGAACTTCTCTTCCCTTTCCTATATTGCTACACCCTGAGTTTCTCAAGAGGATGACGGTAGCATGGGAACAGTTATCTAATAGGGAAACACATGCACTTTCTTTTCAATTCAGCACTGTGTCTGTATGCGGATGATTATATGCCAGATAGATGTTGGCATCCTGTGCTCAATACCATGTGATTTGGGGACTACCCCAAGGTTAGTCCAC